TCTTTCATTCATGTTATGGGTATTTTTATACAAAGGAAATTTTTTTGTGCCTGTTGAAAATTTAAGTTTACTGACATAGCCATAAAAAATGTTGCTTTATTTATCTGACCATATTGGAATGTATTTGTTAGGTTTTCAGTCAATTAAATGTGGTTCAATAAACAATATGTAGTCATTTTTAAAATTTTCAATGAACATTCGATCAGTCTGGCCCTCGGCTTGCAGCAAAATTTTTTATCTGGCCCTCCGTCCATTTGACTTTGACACCCCTGGTTTAAGAGGTCCACAGAGGCCACATAAGGAGGAGCATTCGATCGACGCAGCCTGCGAAGGGTCCTCAAGGACGCAACCTAAGAATGTGTAGACAGCTAAAGACTGAATGAACAATAATCATAACATATCAGTGGCGTCTTTGAGCTTCTTCGCTTTAGCTGTAAGAATTTCAGTCATCCTCGTCTGGTCTTTTTGAACTGATAATTTGGATAGCTACAGTGTTATCCATTGTGTAATTGCCTAAAACAGCCTTGTAACATCATTTGTTAGTCACATAAGAAATTTGAGAAAGAGACAGAATTACTTAAAACACATGACTGACGTTATGAATGTGCTCATTTGGTGTTTCAACAGCAAAGCTGGACTACAGTACAGTATAACGTCGTAAAAATAATTTGTGATATCCACATCATGTGTACATTTAATAGCATCCAATTCCCATTATTTTGAATTAATAAAAAGATCATGAATTTGAAGTCCCTTGTTTTGTCATCTAAGATGCTTTTACTAATGTTGCCTTGGTATCGTATCAAATGAAGGTACTTTAAGCAGATGTAGTATCAAAGTCCGAATTTTGGTATGCTATCAACACTAGATAGCATTTTACAAATAAAGGAAGCTGTTCTATGTTCTACCCGGTCTGCATGTCACAACAACCTTAAATGTCACACCGACCTGCCCACTCAGAAGGTGCCCGGTCCGCCCAGAGGCAGCGATCCAGCCAGCCTGCACATGAAGAAGCAGAGCAGAGCCACGACAGCCAGTAGCAGAAGAGCAGACAGAGCAGTGATCAAGATCACGTGGTGAGTCACTTCAGTCATGACTTCACCGTACATTCCACCAAGTTTATCAAATCCAGCTTGTGTCAAAATGGAGCACCAACACCGACTGTTCTCACTCACCTCTTGCTCAATCCTTAATATGGGATTAGGATTTGGAGCACTGACTAAATTGGATTTCCAAAGGCAACCACAGACGATTCAGCCTTTACTAATTTACGGTCCAGCGAAAGAACAACTTGCGCCAATGCAGGCTCACTTTTAGTTAAAAAAAACTGGATACACCCTGGACTGGTCAGCAGCCAATCGCAAGGCACATATGGACAAACAACCTTGTCCTTATTGGGGATGAGCTGGATCCTATCCCGATTGAAATTTGGTGAAAGACGCAGGGGATATATAGACTGGTCGACAGTCAATCTCATACTCATTAGTCGGGTCCCGACCTATTTATCCCCGCGATCTCTTTTAAAATTTGTAAAAAAAAAAAAAAAATAGGCTCAGTAAAAATTGGCTATTTTTTTTTTTTTTGCACCATAATAATTATATAATAAATTTTAAAAATTCGTTTGAGTCCTTGAAATATCGTTTTTCTATGCGAAGCGGTTTTGCAAGTCAATGAATTCATTTGAGGAGCAACTTTCTGATTTGTGTGGAGCAATTCATGTATTTATTTATTTATTTGGAGGTTAATTCCAGGGATTAGAACTTTTATTAAACAATACAATATGAAAATGTCACAAATGAACAATTAGTTCTTTTGGTGTTGAACGTGATAGCTGTAACAACCTTAGGTTACCTTAGCATTTAGCATGGCTTATCCACCTTTTCTCGTCATCCCATCACGAATATGATACTTCTCTCAGAAATTTATCTTATTCGCCACCATGCAGGCAATAATTACTGGCTCAGGAGCGATTCAGCAATGTACTGTATTTCGGGGCACGAGGAGCTAGCCAAAGCTGATACTATCGCTGTTTCTACACAGATCTTCCCTCGACCTCCGACTTCCTGCGGTAGGTGACGTGAGCCCAGCAAAGCTTTGTTGGACTGTCTCCCTTCATATCTTTGTTGTTATAAGCATTAAGGGACCCAAAAATAAGTTATTATAGTCCTTAGATGTATATTTTGGGGGTGTCCCGATCCATAATTGGTATTGGATATCTGTCCAATATCAGGAAAAAAACAGTATCGGATTCTATCAGTCTACATTTACAATCTTCGACAATAGCACTCGTATGCAAGCAGTTCATTCCAGGCTCCCCTCCTCCACTCTTCTATCCAGCACCATCTGGATTTAGCATGCAGAGCCCACATGATCAAAACTTCTGTTATTATTTTTCATTTTAACCAGAGAAAGACGGTGCAGCTGAGTGCAACATGTGCAAAGCAAAGTAAATAAAAGCAGGTATTTTTCCCGCCGATATAGTATGGGATCGATATTGCTATCGGATAGGACTCTCGTCTCCTCTGCAACATCGGTATCGTATCGGAAGTGAAAAAATTATACCGGGACACCCCTAATATAATTGTTATTAATCAGCTCATTCATAAATTATTCTGTCAAATATCTGAGTCAGCATCCGCCTTTAAAAAAATCCATGTTAGTCTGGCCGTACGAAACACGATTTCATGTGGGATGGAGGTGCACTCTGTATTGGTCATCAGATATTTATGGGGCACAAAGTGAAATAAGCATTCACACTCACACGGACAATTTATAGTCTTCAATGATCTATATTGTACACCGGATTGACGCCTGGAACCAATATTCGAAATCAAAAACTCAGAAAAGTACAACTCTTAAAATTGCTAGGTAACGAATAACCCAATTTTGGTCAAAAATTGGACCGACCGGCTACTTGGGTCAGTTTGAATGAACTTTCTGAGTAGTTTCGTACAAAGCAAAGTAATCTTTTATACAAAACAAGTCAATTAAAATTGGCTTGTTTTGATAATTGACACCCAAGTAGCCGTCCATTTTTTTAACCAATTACATTTTTGTTTTTGTTTTGTTTGTTTTTTTTGTTTGTTTGTTTGTTTTTGAGGCAGTTTTAAGGCTAGATGTCATACTCAATAGTCCATCCTGATTCCTTTTAGACTTGGTAAAGTGAGCCAGCCACATTTCCAATGCTCTAAATGTGTGTGTGCGTGTGTGTGTGTGTGTGTGTGTGTGTGTGTGTGTGTGTGTGTGTGTGTGTGTGTGTGTGTGTGTGTGTGTGCGCGCGCGCGCGAGCGCGAAGCGGTAGTGGCTTTTTGAAAGGACACTTGGAGGACATGTACGGTATGCTTATGAATGTTTGCTACATAAAATCGCAGCTACAGAAACATCAGCTTATCGGAATCATTTTCCATCTCTCGAAACTTGTCCTCAAGGGCTAAAAAGTTCGGAATTAAAAACAGGTAATAAAAAGTGAAACCAGTTGATACAGCCTACAGTGTGTTTGCATAACTTCACGTTTGGACATGATAAAAAACACAGACCCCTGTATGAAACAAGCCACCAGTCTAGGAAGCTTATCTAAAGACTAGTTAAGAATGTTGATTCATGACCATTTCATCTCATCTGATTTTTAATAATAATAATAATAATAATAATACACCTACAACCGACTAATGACATGTTTTACTGGCCCGGTCAAACGGGTCATTTTGAGAATTTCTGTTGTGTTTTGTACATCGAATATTTTGCCTTTTTATTTATTTATTATTTATCATTTATGGCATGTGCACAGAAAAAGGCAGAGACCTTAAACCGGTGGTTATATCTCAGATGTGTTAAATTCAGTCGCAGTTGACATTTCAATTAAAACTAAGGTGCGTTATAGAGCGAGGGACTGATTTTGAAATGAATGCTGGCAACTTGGTTGTAGTCATACAAATGAACCGTTAGATAATGTGCCCCCGTATAGACCAACGGCATGCAGCAACCATGTGGAGAAAAGTCCCCCATGCAAAGCTCAAAAAAAGCTGCACATTAACATTCAACATTTCACACGCTGAATAGAAATGATAACTGAATACTCATATCAATAATTATAATTCAAAGTTGCAAAAGAAGAGAGAAAAGCCAAACGTTGACTGAAGACAACAAATAACACGAGTTCATTGTCCAAACTAACCAAAAAAAAAGTTATGTAGTTCCACTTACTGCACCAAGTGTCTCATCAATCGTTGCACTTGAATGTTTCACCTTGGAATGTGTCTCGTCTTCGCTTTCGGTGCTTTTTAAAGGCCCAGAGAGGTTGTCCTGAGGCTTTTTGGGGGGACGATCTGCAACTCCCGTGGAGGAGGGGGAAACCATCGAAAGAGGAGGCTTCGCTGAGTGCTGTGAGAGGCGCACTGTGGACTCGATGCGCCCTCTGTAGGGCGGCTTTGTGCGTGTTTTCATGACAACTTTATAACATCAGATAATACAGTACAAATAAAAAAGGGAAAAAAGTACATTTAGAAGTATTTTACAACTAATACATACTAGAGTATGAAATATGGCAAAATATGAAATTAAAAAATCGATTGTAAAATATTCACACAAAAACAAATAAATAACTGAAACAAAAATAGAAATAATAAAAATGAAGGTCATAAATATTCAACGGTATGGTCCCCCTTTATCGAATCTGTGAAGGAGTTGAATTTCTGATTGATCACTTGGCTGATGTGATGTCTAATATCCACTTACATTGTTCTTATTTGGTAATTGTTATCACTGTGTTTTTTGTTTGTTTTTTTTGAACCATTATTATTATCATTCATAGGAGTAGAAGGTTTTTTTCTTAAATATCATTATTATTATTAATAAATAGCGGATGTTTCGTGCAAGGTCACTGACGCTGTCGTGGTACTACCCTCGCCTGACTTGGGTGCGGGCAGCATGGAGTCGATTCCCACTCAGTGACGGTGTGAATGTGGGTATGAATGTTTGTTCGTCTCTATGTGGCCTGAGACTTATTGACGGCCAGTCCAGGGTGTAGTATGCCTTTCGTCAGCTGGGATAGACTCGAGCACCCCTTCGCGACCCTATTCGGGATAAGCGGTGTTGATAACGGATGGATGGATGTTTCGTTCAAAGACTAATAAATGTAGTTCAACTGAAGAAATGTCGTCGTCTCAGGGTCGACAAACGTTTAATGACTTTACATAAACAGCACGGGTTAATCCAGTTGGGAACCCACAGCGGTGCACATGATAGAGCCATGGATTGATCCCCCCAAAATAAGTGAGGGTGTTTTCTCCCCGATAGTGCTCGACCACTTCCGGTATGACGTTTCCAGAGATATGGGAACGATTCTGACGCCGCGGCGCGGAGAGGCGTCTTGGATTGGATGTCGAGGTGGGCTGGATCTCCATTTGCTCCCCACCTCCCGTCCCTCGGGCCAGAAAAGACTCACTGACCGAGTTAGACCAGTGGACAATCTGACGGCGAGGTGAGTACACTTTCTTTGTCTTCGTGTGTCGTTACAAATGTGACAACCTTTTCTCAGAATTGTCGTATGGAAAGAACTCCAAAACTGCGCTGATTTCAACTTCCGGGGTGGGGGCGCTAATGTGAAATCACGTGTCCGCGAATGTTCATTTATGACTCGAAAAGCGTCTATTCCTTTTGTAAAAATTCACCTTAAACGGTGAATTTGTGTGCTGATGTGCCCATTATAACAGTATTTACTTAAGGGGGCTGATGTGAACTATATTTACATTGGAGAAAACCAACCTTGATAGTGCGAATGACAAAAATATATACGGCTCATTCCAGAATTGGAGGACAAAATTATTGAAAAACGGGACATGCATTTTAGACTGAAACTACATAATATATTTATATTTATATTTTCAAGAAGAAACAGGCTGTAGAAAATCAAAACAGTCATCCATTCATATTGCTCAACCATCAACTGTCTTTATGTGACACAGTATGTCTGAACCTACGAGTGTAGGTTACTACTTAAATAATTGAAAATGCCTCAACATAAATATCAATATGTTTCTTGATTGACAAGAAAAAAAATAGCATTAAACCATAATGCACTGTATTAAAATACAGTACAGTAAAAAAAACAAAAATTGAAAATGCCTCAACATAAATATCAATATGTTTCTTGATTGACAAGAAAAAAAATAGCATTAAACCATAATGCACTGTATTAAAATACAGTACAGTTAAAAAAAAAATTAAAGTATTTCTGACATCATGATTTTATTTAATGTCCATAGACATTTTCCTCCATCCGGTGGCTTCCACCTTGGCCACCGTAGGGCAGTATTTTGCAGGCAGGCCAGTCTCGTACCCCCTTTTAAGACGAAGTAACACGTGCAGAATGTGGCTTGGCATTGTCTTGCTGAAATGAGCAGTGAGGTCCATTAAAAAGACGTTTGGATGGCAGAATGTTTCTCCAAAATCTGTACATATCTTTCAGCATTAATTGTGCCTTCACAGTTGTTTCACTTACTTACCCGTCCCATTGGCACTAACACAACTCCATACCACAGATGCTGACTTTTGAACTTGGCGTCCATAACAGTCCAGATGGTTCTTTTCTCTTTGACCCAGAGGACACGGTGTCCACAGTTTCTAAAAAAAAAGAATTTGAAATCTGGACTCGTCAGACCACAGAACACCTTTACAATTTGCCTCAGGCCATCTGAGATGATCTTGGGCACAGAGAAGCGGGTGGCATTTCTGGGGGTTGTTGAGTCATGATTTTTGCTTTGCATTCGTCATGTTTTAAGTTACACTCACGGATGTAGTGGCGAACTGTATTAACTGACATTGGTTTTCTGAAGTATTCCGGAGGCCATGTGGTGAAATCCTTCACACATTGATGTTGGTTTTTGATGCAGTGCCACGAAGGCCACGGGCATTTATTGTTGGTTTCGGCCTTGCAGCTTACATGCGGTGATCCCTCCAGATTCTCTGAACCTTTTGACCAAAGATGATGAAATCCCTAAATTCCTTGCAGTTGGATGATGAGGAGCATTGTCCTAAAGTGTTTGACTATTTTCTCACACAGTTGTTTACGAGGAGGTGACCCTCACCCCATCTTTGCTTGTGAATGACTGAGCAATTCAGGGAAGCTTTTTTAATACTTAATCATTCCACCCACCTGTTCCGAGTTAGCCTGTTCGCATGTGGGATGTTCCAAAAAGGTGTTTGATGAGCATTCTTTTTGCCACCGGTCCCACCTTTTTTGGAACGTGTTGCAGCCAGAAAATCTAAGTTAATGATCATTTGTTAAAAACAATACAGATTACCAGTTTGAACATTAAATGTAATGTCTTTTTAGTGTATTCAATGAAATATAAGTTGAAGATGACTTGCAAAACATTGTATTCTTTTTTGATTTATGTTTAAAACAATGTTACAACTTCATTGGAACTGGGTTTGTATATGTGTTATGACAGAGAGATGACAAACTTGAAAAAGGGGGTCATCAATCAGTGTATTTCTCAGCTAGGTCACAGTGTTTTGACACTGTGGTTTGTTATTTTTATTCTACTCATGGTTCCGTATCATGCGCAGGAAATATTGTTACCACACAGAACAGGATGGCACAAGTTCCCCCATTCAGAGTGAGTGATCTGTGTTATAATAGACACACACACACACACACACACACACACACACACACACACACACACACACACACACACACACACACACATTCACAGTATGACTTGTGAGTGACTTGTTTGCTCAACAGTTATTCATTAGCGAAGCGTCTGGAGAGTGTGAGGCAAAGAGCCACAACAAACAGCCGTGTAGCGGGAAGCGCCGCTTATCATATGTGTCTGTGTTATGACTCGAAAGCCACCGAAAGCACCAGCATGTACCCAGCTCCTTTTAAAGAAATTGTTTTTTTCCCCTTTTAAACAGTTGCTCGGAAAGAAGCGGGAATGTTTTGTCATCCATGTCATACAGCTTTTAAATGACCTATACTTGTTCTCTCTGAAACTTGGAAAAGGAGAGATTCAGGACACAATGGAAACACGCAAGTCCTGAATCCCAAGACAATGTCCAGGACAGGACAGACATCTGGAACAAAGAAACAGAGCTAAAGTCTTGAATCTTAGATTAGCACTCTTGGTAAACAGAGGAAAGTTGTTTTTTTTTTTTTTGTGCTTTTAAGAAGGCAGTTGAAAGTTTAACTATATTTATCATGTCTTGGAACTGATGTTCCTTTGTACTGAGTCTTCACGGTATTTGATGGCTGCACATGGTGTCTGATGATACCAAGCTGCAAAAAAGGGAAGCACCCATCTGAAAAGCTACGGTTAATAAAAGCATTTAACTTGAAGGGCAGCAGTACAAATGCTACGTTGTGTGTATGTGATTGTGTATTTTCACCCAGCCAGTATCTGATCATTTTATGGGCACAGGAAGCCAAGTGTGGCTGGTTATTGCAAAAATTAGCTGAGAGAAGCAGGCTACATTTGCACTGGCGGCCAGCCCATCTCATTGCGCATATAGGTGGACGCCAAAACAATTTATGTTTATGTTTTAAGAAACCTGCCTTGGGACGACGGCTGAAAACTAGCATTTAGCTCCAGCACGCTCGCAAACCCTTGTGAGGAAAAGCGGATCACAAAATGGATGGATGGATTGATTAGTTCACCACACACAAAGAGAAATATTTCAAACCTTTATTGGTTTCAATTTTGGTGGTTATGGTAGAAAGACATGAAAAAAAACAGTATTCCAAAAATGAGAATATTTCATGTGATTGAAAAAAAGGATCTTCAACACAAAAATGTTGGTATTAAAGTAGGGTCTTAAAGTAATATGCCCTCAGTACTTGTTGGGCCTGCTTTTAAATTCATGACAGCAGCAAGCTGGCATTTGATCAGGCATGTAAACAGCTCAGGCGTTATTGTAGCCCAAGTTGCTTTGATGTCTGCCTTCAGATCGTCTGCATTTGGGCCTTTCTGTTTCCTCATCTTCCTCTTGGCAATACCTCATAAATTTTAAATGGGGCACAAGTCAGATGAGATTGCTAGCCAATGAAGTACTGTTATTCCATGGCTGTTCAGCCAGGTATTGGTAGTCAGCGTTCTAAATGAACTTTTTTCAACACCAGCCAGTGTGGATCGAGTGAAAGTAGTCATCTCACGTCTTTCGTTTCTTCCTCTGGATTTGGGAGTGGTTGTTGTGCACTCGTAGAAAAGGCCTGAAGCAGCTCGAGGACCCCCGCCCCTCCCCCACACCAGTGTGCACGCCACACGCCAATATGTGATTGTGCAATCGAAACACTTTATCCCCGAGGAGCACTTCCAAATGCATGAGCAGCATCAATAACAAAGTACTGACAAAACATGAACAACATAAAATCTTACACAAAGTGGGGGAGGGGAAAATCATTGAGCGTTTGATATTTAGTGAAATAGGACAGGCATCATTATACAATCTGGCTTCAATTCACGAACTGTGTCGCAAAATTTCTTGTCTCTAAGATGTAAATCTGGATGGGTTAGTTTTTTTTTTTTGTTCTGTTTTGTGTTTTTAATGCATCTTTCAGGCCCTGTTTTGTGCATAGCCTACTGTATGCAGCATTAAGAGAGACCCCTGCTTGCTGTTTGACAGCTTGAGGTTGAAAGGGGGTGTAGCATCAATTATGGTAGCAGAGAAGTGACCTTGGCTAAACTTTAAATGAAACAGTAATTGTTTATTTCATTTTCTAAAGTTACAACTGAGACTGTTGGGAGGTATTTATGAACAGACAATCAAGCAGTCATAAATGACATCAATTTGCAAGGCACGGCTGATATTTGATCATGGCAAACACATACACGCCAAGGTCACGGAAGAACTAAAACGCAAAGTGAGAAAGCATTTTGGTTCATGAAAAAAAACAAACTACAAATGTGTTCTAATAAATGTAAAGTAACTGAAACTACATCTTCCATTGATGAAACTAACCGTCACTACAATCCTACCTAAACTCACTAGCGAAAATGTCATTCGTTTTCGTCTTTGTGTCTTTGTCCATTCATATCATCCATAAACTTTCGGGGTTGATTTTAACTGTATAGTACATCCGTAACGTATTCACCTATCACTTTTTTCACATTTTGTTCTGTTACACAGGGGTGCCCATTGCGTCATTTGCAATCGACCAATAGCCCGGGTGCCCTCCGATGGCCTATGCCGTGGCTGGCGGTAGCTGCCGTGGTGGAGGGGTTGATGACTGTCTGGCTGACAGTTGTGTCATGCCAGGCGGTCCTCCCGGTACGGTTACTGGAAGGAAGGAATGTGGAGCAGCATTTTCGGACCATTGATTTAAACATGAAGTCCAAGTAACATTCCAACATGACTGACGTTCATTAGGAAGTGTGCATACTGCTCACTATCGGCATTTCCTGTTCTGACCCTTGGCTGATTCCATTCAGCGCAAGTCATCAGAGTAAAGTAAGGACAAAACATTTACAGTAGTTGAATTGTAGTCTGGGCTCTGGCTGGACCACTCAAGGACATTCACAGAGTTGTCATAAAGCCATCCCCTGGTTGCCTAGGCTGTGTGCTCAGGGTCATTGTCCTGTTGGAAGGTAAACCTTCTCCCTAGTCAAAAGTCCTGATCACTCTGAAACATGTTTCTCATCCAGGATATCTTTGTACGTTGCTGCATGCATGTTTGCCTCAGTTCTGATCAGTCTCACAGTTCCTACTGTTGAAAATCATCCCCAATTTAATGCTTCACCATGCTTCGCTGTAGGGAAGGTTTTGGAACATCAAGTTTGGCATTCTTGCCAAAGAGTTCAACGTTCATTTGCCTTTTGGCAAACTTAATGTGGGGCGTCATGTCCCACTTACTAAGGAGTGGCTCCCGTATAGCCAATCTACACACTGGCCTGATTGGTGTCCACAGATGACCACCGGAGCTCTGACAGAGCGACCATCATGTTCTCGGTCACACTCCTGACTGAGTCGCTTCTCCACTGATTGCTCTTTTTAGATGGGGGGGTCAGCTCTTGGAAGAGTCCTGGTGGTTTGCAACTCCTTCTATTTACGCATGAGGGAGGCCACTATGCTCATCGGAATCTTCAAACCAGTAGAACATTTTCTGTTTTCTTCCACAGATTTGTGCTTTGATTCCGACCTATCTGAGCTTTATAGATAATTACTTTGACTTCCATGCCACCTGTGGGGCCTTGTATAGACAGGTGTGTGCCTTTCGAAATCATTTCTAGTCAACTCCAATCAACCTTTAGGAACCTCTCATGGATGATCAGTGGGAACATGGTGCTGTTGATCGTATTCGTGACGCAACAATTGAATTCCCTGAATTTGTCTGGCAAAATTAATCCATGAATTAGAAAAGAAACGCAATAAGAAACACTTGAATTAGATGTTCTCTATGTTATTATGAAAGTAGACTATTTCTTAATGGAGGAGCTCGACTCCTCTTCCCTTTTTCTCCTCCTCTGGTTGATGAGCAGTAAATAATATCATGTATTATATTTATATTTAACGACACTTTGGTGAAAAAAAAGGTATGTATAACCTTATTTGAGGGCTGGAATGGATTAATTGCTTTTCCATTCATTCTAAAGGGAAATATTACCTTGATGAACATTTCAAGTTTCACATTTCAATGGGATCAGGCAAAAAATAAAGTTTATAACTCGAGGTTCATCAGTATATATATATATATATATATATATATATATATATATATATATATATATATATACAGTATACACTAATGAAAACTAAACTAAAACAAAGTATTTTAGAAAAATAGCCAATTAATACAAACAAAAAACCTGCTCTCTAAACTAATTAATACAAACTGAAATAAAATACTGTAATTTAAAATGCAAAACTATTATAACTCTGACACACGCACGCACGCACACAGACACAATACCTGAACTACGCACAGAGGAATGTAAAGAATTGCTGAGCTGCAGCATGCACATTAATAACCACGTGGCTGCCAATACAAGCTGTTTTCTCTCGCAATGCTGCTCCTAAAAATAAACACGTTTTTTTTTTTTTTTTTTTTTTTTTTTGCTTTAATATTGATGGGAAAGCAGCTTAGTTCGCTTTATTTGCCCGCATCCGCACTCCCATGATTATCAGTGTGTTTTCCTCTCCGAAAAGGAAATGTCATTGCTGCGCGATGGGGAAAAAAGTGACCTTTTCCTGCGTAGTGTTGACGTCCGGGGTCAGGAGCGAAACCCTGAGACGACCGCGCCGCTATTTTTCGCTCTCGAGAAGGCAGGCCGACCGCGACCGTGTGAACAGTGAAGTGCAAGAGCCGGCTTGGCGCGAGTGTTTGCCTGTTGAGTAATGGGCCCAGTTTTTTTGTGTCCATTCCATATGGGAGAACAAACAAACAGCAAGCACCAGTGTGATGCAGCATCGGAAAGCCAACAAGTTAGCTCATGTTGCGTGTGCAGTGGCACATGGTGTGCCTGTGTGTGTCATTTTGCGTTGTCGCGCTTGTCATTGTGTGAAACTAACATTGACTTTTACTCGTGTCTGTTTGTGCACATCTGTTTGTACAAGAACATGCATGGCAGGTTCATGAAACACTCTAAATTGTCCCGAGGTGTGAGTGTGAATGTGGATGGTTGTTCGTCTCTGTGTGCCCTGCGATTGGCTGACAACCGGTTCCGAGTGTCCCCCACTTACTGCCGAAGACAGCTGGGATAGGCTCTAGCACCCCCCACGACCCTTGTGAGGATAAGCGGATTGGAAAATGGATGGATGGATGGATGTTTGTCTTGTGGGTGGTTCTTCCTGTGTGTTACTTGTACAAAGAACCACATCCGTGTGTGTGTGTGTGTGTGTGTGTGTGTGTGTGTGTGTGTGTGTGTGTGTGTGTGCGTGTGTGTGTGTGTGTGTGAGAGAGAGAGAGAGAGAGAGACCTTTGGCTGAAGGTTTGAAATAATCTGAGGCTTGTTGCCGTGTTCTCATTTTTAAGTGCAACATTGTGCTGCTGCTTAAATGATTTTCCCTGTACAAAGAAACAGTGTATTTGTTTGCGTGCGTTTGTGTGTCAGCTATATTTAAAGCCTCTTTTTTCTTACGTTGACACGGCAAAATCGAGGGCCAAAGCAAGGTCCGACATTCAAATTCCAGTCGTAGGACCAATACCAGCTTGGCAGTAGATTCAGCATGATGCCCGACTGCTGGAAAATACACAAAAGAAGGAGCCGTTGTAAATAAAATATGTCATCAAACAAGCTAGGCCAATTGTTAGCTTTTCTGGTAACTGGATTGAAGGCTTTTCTCCTCGTATTTTTATGAGTGCCATTTTTGAAAGCACTTTTGACGTAATTGTTGAACAGGTTTAAATTTTCCGATTGTCGTCCCCCACTGTTTCACGAGCAGATTAGGGAGGAAACTGCCTGAACACGCCTCACACCGCAGGACAGTAGATCTCGCCTGGCTGTGAGGCAGATGTGATAACCACAACACGCAAAAACAATCAAACCAAAAAACACCTCACTTTCAACATTCTCAAGAAAATATTTTAGTCGTAGGAAAAAAAAAACTATCCTGTTTGTGACATTTGTGATTACTCCCAAAGTGGTAAAAAACGTAGTTTGATTTGAGTATCTCATATTGTTTGTTGTCTTTCTCTGTACCAGCATATATTCCTCAGCAAAGTGCTTGTCAGTGTTTGTAAAACCAAAGGAAGGTGGCTGCGTTAGTCAGTAGTTAACTGCCTACGTTGCTGTCCTGAGGAATGTGCATTTTACAACAACATGGTCATCGTCCATAAACTTTTCATGACCTGCTAATGCAGTGTGGTTCCGTGGTTGGCTGCAAAGTGAAAAACATTGCAGTTGTTGTTTTGCAGAGGCGCATCCACATGAACCTTTACTGTCAGAAATATTTTGAGCTCCTTCCACCTGGTGTTACTGGTACGTGCATCATCTTTCCAGGGAAATTAATTAAATGGCTCTCTTTCTTTACCTGGACTGTCCAATGGTGGGATAAGACCGCCCGTTCCCTTGTGTTTATGTGAAACAAGTCGTGAAGTACAACAAATCATGGACGTGTGAGCGCATGGCATTTGTGGTTTTCGGGTAGCTGTCTGGGTCAAGTAGCAAACATATCGGGTTACTGGATTACGAGCTTATTTAGATGTGAGCCGGACGAGATGGCTCAGAATTCATTTACAGTGGAACAGCTTACGTACCAGTTGTTCTTTTTTACATTTCTCCTCATACCAGAAATCCATAAAAAAATCTGCTTGTCTAGTAGGCATGTTCCTCGTAAAAAATTCCAGCCATTGAATTTGCCCAAAATATGCGGCAATGGAAATGTGTGATTGTAAATTGTGAAGCTTTGTATTGCTTCTCTGTATTGTGTGCAGAGAATGGTGTAAAGGTTTTATCGTTATTTTGAGGATTCACCATAAAAGGCGGTGCAAGGGCCTATTGATCACTGTTTGCAGCTCTGAATATTGTTAATGTACAGTTGTGCACCTGAGTTTACATACCCTATGGCGGGGGTCGGCAACACGCGGCTCCAGAGCCGCATGCGGCTCTTTAGCGCCATCTAGTGTCTCCCTGGAGCTTTATAAAAAATGTTTGAAAATGGAAAAAGATGTGGGAGGGAAATTTATTTTTTTGTTTTAAATATGGTTTCTGTAGGAGTAAAAACATGACACAAACATTCGTAACGTTTCCCAATGCTGTAAAAATGTGTAGAATAAATATTACATTTCAACATTTCTGTCAACGAAGATTTGTGTCATAGCCTGCGACACACGTTTCTATTAGCAGGGCGGGATGCAAGGCAGGTGGCTGTTGCAAAAAATAAAAAAATAATATAAAATGTAAACAAAACAAAAAAAAAAAAAAACGGCGTTTCATGCACAATTCACCGAGGGCACTGGCAAAGAGAATCTGGAGGGCCGTGAGAAGCACTTTTAAAAATCGTAGCTACGATCGTCAAAAACGCTGCAAAAGTGTGTCCCATGCCTCCGCGTCAGATCTCGACGAAGGTAGGTAGGCATGCGTCTGTAAGTGTGTTGTGTATGCGCGGGTCGATTGCGGTAGGTTGGTTGAACGAAAAGTAGATCTTCGGCCAAAAAAGGTCGGGCACCCCTGCTCTACAGAATGCACTGCACGGAAAAAAAACATTTAATCATGAAGGCTCATCATGTAATTGTAGCAAACTTAGTCATTTTGATGGTAGGCTAATATAGCTCATGTAGATATAGGTACGTGTTGCAGCTCCGAAAAAAGGTGTGGTTTTGGTTTTTTAAAAACTTAGTTACGCTTTTAACAGTCTCGACAAACACAGACACATCTAAAACGTACACATTATTTATGCTTTTAACAGTCTCGACAAACACAGACATGTCTGCGTCCGACTCCGTGCCTTCTCTCCTCTCGTTCGACTCGAGAGGCGTTCAAAGACAGCCTCCGAAAAACGGAAATTAATGATCACTTCAATGACACTAAGAAAAGCGAAAATAATGCACCAAAACAGAAAATCAAGCGAGGAAATCACAAAATAAATTCTATGGGGGCGTTTGTGAACACACAACAAAGGAATGAATAACATAAACAATTCTGAGACAGTCCAGTCTCCTACATACATACAGCATGTGTTTCCTTCATTGTAAGTTTTATAGAAGGCTTTTATTTTTTGAGTTTGATTCCGGGTCTGGCCTTCTGGTGTGCAGTTTGCATGTTCTCCCCATGCCCACGTGGGTTTTCTCCGGGTAGTCCGTTTTCCTCCCACATTCTGAAAACATACATAGCAGGTTAATGGACTCTAATTTGTCCCTATGTGAGTGTGAGCACGGATGTTTGTTTATCTGTGTGTGCCCTGCTATTGGCTGGCAACTAGTTCAGGGTGTCCCCCGCCTACTGCCCAAAGACAGCTGGGATAGGCTCCAGTACACCCACGACCCTTGTGAGGATAAGCTGATTCGAAAATGGATGGAAGTTTGAACTGGAAAGAAAAAGAGACATCAGAGAGGGCTGGCGATGACGCTTTAAAGAGGAGACAAGGCCGCCCCAGACACTATCAGGTGTCGGTTACCGTGGTGATGGAGCAAGCATGCCATGGGAGGGGAACACGCTTCCTAGGGCGCCTCCTTCTCAGAGTGTCTTGTCCTATGGAAAAGAGACGAGGTGTGGCCTTTGTCTGCCCAAAATTTTCTGGGAATGTGCCCAGACACACAAGTCGCAGTCACCACTTCTTCCTGTTTTTCCAATGTTTCTGTATTCCCTCGCACCAGGTGGAACCAGGAAGCTGTAAAAGAGGAGACCTCAAGTTTTTATGGGGAGGTGTTAGTCTTGTGACGTACGGTGTCAGCTGCCATGGGGGTTGGCAGGGAATGCCTTTGAAATACTGGTAGCAGTGCAGCAGACCGGCCCAACCTGATCGTTCACTTGCAATGGACGCCGGGGCGAAACCCGAACCCGCAAACGTGGCCATGGAGTAGACAGCTAAAGGGGATCGAAGAAGCAGCATGGAGGCACTCAGGGACTCTCTTATGCATCTGACTTTTCAGATGTCATCATACAAGAGAGCCACACTGGACGAGGAAGACTTGGTGGACTCTGGCGGCGATGACATCTACCAGTCAACACCCATGCAGGTAAGACAGACAACAAAAATATCACTTGAGAGGCTTTTACATCCCATGAAAACATTTCCAAAATGTTCTTTTGGATTCATCTAGATAAACCTGTAAAACGTAAAGTGTCAAGAAGTCAGCGACGAGCCACGTTCTAATTTTTAAACAATTGTATCAAATGAGTTTGGAAGGAAAGTATTTTTTATGTGCCTTCGAGATTTGTTTTTCGTCTCTTCAGTTTTTTCCTGTTTTGTCTAAATGGAAGCTGAAACAAATTCAGGGTACTCTCACATCCTGGAAACTTGGAAAATTTGTGACCAATTTTCCAGTCATGGAAAATACATAGAAAATGAGAAAAAAGTAAAATGTCCTGGAAAAGTTTGGGTTGTCTTGGAAAATAAATTTTCTTCCCTCTGCTTCTCACTGCCGTGTGGGTAATTGCAGATGGGTTAAACAGACATGTTTGTCTCTGAGCCGGCACGGTGCCCCACGTGACGCTACCAACCAATCAAATTGCATATTCCCTTTGAACAGTTCTGCTGCCCTGTGTGCCTGGTTACTGATTTTTCAGACCCAAGTAAGGATTTTTTTTTTCTCCAAAGTTTACGAGTGTTGCTGTGGCCCTGTATATCGAGTGTAAAGTTTTTCTCCCTTTCGCTGTCTCTTCCATGAAGTGACAAAGAGCTCAAGTAGATTTGGCGTCAATTTTGGCTGTGCGCTCAGAGATATATCTCTCTCGTTTCAGTAGAGCCTCAGCGACCATGACGACGGCTTCGAAAGTAGCAATGGGTAACGGGTGGCCTTAGTGGGCCACTTTTTACTCACTCATTTATACTTGCTCCATTGTCCGACAGCGGAAATAGAAAATATGTGAACGAGAGTTCTATGACATATATATGCGAAAAGAGCAGAGCACTGAGTTTTCATATGGTTTAGTTCGTGTTACGTCCCTGCGCAAGTGAATCTGGCATCGGCGGTGCCATGCTTGCGAGCATGGGCTTTGTCCTCCCTCTAACCCAATGGTTCTTAACCTGGGTTCGATCGAACCCTCGGGGTTTGGTGAACCGGTCTCAGGGGTTCGACGGAGCCTCTGCCATGGAGGTTAAGACACACCCGGCTCAACATGTCAATTAGTTATGACACGCCCACTTGGCCATCACTGGCTGCAGAAGATCACATTACATCGCTTGTCCAATCAGTGCTGCGGGAACTTTAGTTCGCTCAGTAGTCACTACATGACCGTAGTGATAGTACAATTTAAAAAAAAAAAAGGATACTTATCTCTTGAAATTGTATTTACTTTTTTCTGTTTTTAATAAATGCGTTTTTATATCTTGAATTCTTAAAAAAAGATATTTATTTTTCACTACTGCGATTGGCTGGCAACCGGTGAAGGGTGTCCCACACCTACTGCCTGAAGACAGCTGGGCTAGGCTCCAGCACCCCCCGCGGCCCTTGTGAGGATGAAAGCGAATCGGAAAATGAATAAATGAATATTTTTAACTAATGAAGGGTTTGGTGAATGTGCATATTAACTGGTTGGGTTCGGTACCTCTAAGAAGGATGAGAACCACTGCTCTAACCCATCAACAGCTCAGTAGTCATTCAGCTGTAGTGCCATTGTCTGGATTTAATTGGCAATGAACGCAATTTACATGTCGACATCCAAATGAGATCTTATGTTCGTGTTGTGACGTTCGGGAACAAGTTGTTCTTTTGAAGGGCATCTTTTGGATGAATGATGAGAATCCATTGACAGCTGTGTGAGAGCCGTTTTTTTTTTTTTTTTTTTTTTGCCAATTCAGTTTGGTCTTTTGTAATATTGAAGCAATCTGGTTAAATGAACAAAATGTAAGATACGATCATAGAAAATAACACGTCTCCAAATATTTGGGGGTGGAATTTATGAGTCTATGTTGACTCAAACTACAGCAGATGAAATGGCCCTGGGAAAGTCCTGGAACATAATTTCAAGAAAACAGTGGGAACCCGGAAATTGTCCCGTGCAGTTAAACATAATGTTTTAGGCCTGGTACACACATATCAATTGTTGGGCCAAACTCAATGTTGACCACACGCACATAAAGATTTCAGATCATAAATATTGAATTGGTTCAACTCAACTTTATTTATATAGCACTTTCACAACAGGTGCAACACATGAGGTAAAGTAAAACATTAAAAATAACACAAACATAACAAACCAATAACATCTTTTTCTCCTTTCCTACATATGTTTTATTGCTTGAAGCGGTTCTAGCTAAAAGAGGATTACAAGTCTCCTTTTTCCGGTCCCAATTGCATCCGCTTCACTTTTCAAATGCCAACTCCTCTCCATATCTCCTCCGAGCACAATGATGACGTTCCTCGCTCAAGTCAAGTCAAATTTAGTTATACAGTCCTTCATCAAAAAAAGAGCCTCAAAGGGTTTCAAATGACAGTTGACAAATATTAACCCTTTCAGGGACAGCGGTTACGACAGTGGACAGCTTATCATGTTATCAGGTTACAGGGTGCATAAAAGGGTTAATTATCTTCACCCCAGTGGAGGACAACGAAAAAAAAACATCTGGGAAGAATCAGAAATCTCCTCATCCTCAGCTCCTCTAGCCATTCAACTATACATCCAGCCGTACCATCGCAGACAGTCCAAGATACACGAAGGTGCTGTTAAAATGTCGAAATATTACCGTAATGACCATACACAAGGTGCATCAGATTTTAAGGCGCGCTGTAAGCTTTTAAGAAAATGGAAGGCTTTTAGGTGTGCCTTTTAGTGCGGAAAGTAAGGTATATTTATTTTTTTCAGGCACCTATGTGAACACAACGAAAACAAATTTAGATGTAACAAATTGAGAAGAAAGGGAAAAAAAATTATAGTCGTTTGTTTTTGTTGTGTTCATATGGATTTTCCTCCTATGTGCCTCAATAAACTAAATATACTGCAAAGCTATGGTCCCTAAACACTTTAATATGATTTCAGAGTCATTTTAGAACATTACCCTTAAAAATAAGCGTGTGTGTACATGCAGTGCACAGACTGAGAAGACTCTCCTTCGCTTCCACTACCAACAAAGAATAAACTAGACTAAAACTCTTCTCTGACAATGCAAAAATCTCAAATAATCTGGGTGGGCCAGAAATTTCCATACATAGGAAAATGATGTTTCAGACGCCATTGTTATTGTAGGTATCATAGGTATGTATACAGAACTTATGTATGTAAACTTTGGGCCCAGACTGGATAATTAGAGTTATGTGTGCATGAAGAAGTGCAGTAAATAACTGCCTGAAGATTCGTTGGACGTGATTGAGTGTTCTTTCGGCTTGCTGTCTCACAGACGGTGTCGGGGGTGGTCTGCTCCAATCAAAACACTTTTTTTTTTTTTTTTTTTTTTTAAGCGTTCGTTTGAAGACCTCACATTGTGCAGCTGATATTGTTCAGTACAGACGGTAGAGAGTCTGAGAAGTTTGAGAGGCCAAAGTGAGTGTTTGACTTTGCAGTAGATTATTTCACTGAGGTTTTCCCGAAAATGTGAGAGAAATTTCCCCTTGTGGATTTTTCTTTCTACTGAACCGAGTTTAGGTCCAAACTGAGTGATTGAGGAACACTGCGACTTTAGCACTGGATACGGCCACATTAACTTGGACTAATCTTATTGAATAGAGAGCAAGCTGAATCATGTTATTTCTTTTTTTTAATGCGATTTTTCTGGAGTGGATTCTGCTACGGCAGGATGATGTGGTGGTGGAAGCTGTCCAATAAGCGCTGCAGTTTGGCAACTTTCTTGTAGGGAACACATTCTCTTGACCCATCACTTGAGGTTGTTGGACCTGAAATCTGCACACCCCCTTAATTCTTTACATTCTTACTGTTTTGTGGTCAGTCTTCAGGTTACGGGTATGTCAAATAGCACTGTATTGTCTCTGCGCATGAGAGGAAACACTCCATGCTCAATTATCTTGTAACTCCGCAGGGGATTTGCATTTATGACAGGGCAGCGATATGTTTTCAGTGAGCCAAATGTATTTTTGTGAATTTGAGAAAACCCCTTATGGACACCTTTACAAAGGTTTTCCAGGCTTTGTCTTGATATAGGGGGTCAGAACACACTGTAGTTCATCACTAACTGAGGCTACAGTATACTACATAATCTGTTGTAGTAATAGTCCATAAACCCCCATAAAAAAAACAGTTGCTTAAAAAAGAGATATAGCAGGGACGCAAACGATTGTTGCCAGTGCTCATCATGCTCCCGCTGGACCGATGGTGAGCATGGCTTTGTTACCACGATGACTAAGGAAGGAGATAGATCGTGACAAGGTGAGTGGCTCTGAAAAGAAAAGTGAGAAAGAAAAGCATTGATTTCTATCTTCACTCACGGAGGCAGCACTTTCAAATTGGGTCTGAAGTCAAACAAAAACATAGTTTCAAAAACATATTCCTAAATTTAATCAAAAGACTAAATCGGGGATCTCAAACTCAATTTATATGGGCGCCGCTGGAGATAGTCTTGCCCACAAAAACTGCAAAAAAAAGTTTTTTTTTTTTTTTTGTTTTTGTTTAGCAAATAACAGAGGATTGGGGAAAACGCAAGTAGCGCATGAAAGCCATTAAAAGGCCATTAAAAAGTCACTTGACCATCATATGTCCCCTTTAAAAGGTGTCACTGTGTGTACAGGTGACTCTCCGGCAGGGCTGTGGCTCCTCATGTTGGCCTGAGAAAACGCAGAGGGAGAGGCAGCTTCTGTTTCTCGTGTGTGTGCTGTCTGCAGGCCTATTCGTATCGCTCATCACGACCGCCGTGTTCTACCGGCAGAGTGAGTACTCATTTTCATCGCCAGCCTGAACACAATGAGCTGGATAATGCTGCCCGAAGGAGTTGTGCCGTCCACGGGATATGACTCACCTTCCCACAAATGATGTCATGTTGTCCTTTTTTTGACCGATGCATTCCATTTTGCCTTAATTTGCCTCAAAACGAGATTTATGGGCAATCACTTTCGCACGGTTGACAGAATTCTTAAAAGTCAAGAAACTGTGTGAATGATGCCAATCGCTCTTTTGTTAATGTTTATCAAACCCTAAATAAAAGTGGCACTATCTGCTCAGAATGTTATCCGCCATGCATGACAAAGTAGCTTGCCAAGCAAATACAACAAAACAAAATCCCATATGACATTTTCACAGAGGCGTAGGTGCTACCGAGGACTATTCTAGTTCATATTTACAATTTGAAAAAAAAATCCTTTAAGTATGATGTTTTAAATTCTTTACATTCTGTTGTTTAATTTTTGTTACTTTCCCTTTTTTGTTAAGACACGCCGTGGGTCACGTAAACCTATTACAAAATAAATATTCAAACAAAAAAATAAATATGCAAACAAAATAAATTCACATGGCTGTATTTGGATAGTGATTGTATGGAAATGCTGCAGCCACACCTTTGGCTCTGCTTCCAAGCAACACCTTTACAGCCTCTCCCGTGAGTTTTCAACATCCCGACAAAAAATAATAAGAAAATAGCTTGTGGATGAGCCATTTCGTATGTGGGTTTTCCTCTGGGTTGCCATGGGACGCCTCCTGCCACTTCCTGCCATTCACGAGAGTCTATGTCATGACATACGTCGGCATAATGGAAGGAACAGGGATGAATTCTCCTCTGGGTGCTAACCTCTTTGCTTAGCGGAACTCTGTCCCGCGCAGTTGTCTAAGGATACATTTAGAGAAGAATGAACTGCCATTTTTGTTCACTTACATTCATAATTATCCAAATGCGAAAAACACAGCAGTTAAATAGGCCATAATCCCCATGTCAGGGCGTAATGCCGGTCAGGAGGAAATTTGTATTCTAGGTGTGGTTTAACTGAATACAAGAGTGTAAAAATAAATATCAAGTCCAGCTTGACACATTCCTACAGAGTTAATTGCTCTTCTTTCCACAGGTAGGGACTTCCAGAGTGATAAATAAAGAATGAGGAACACTGTTTAACCCGCTCGCCTCTTTTTAGATCTTGAAATCCTCAGGATAGCAGGCATGTCGCGCGTGTTGGACTCGGGATGGAACGTATGGTACTGTACCACTAACACATCAAGATACGAAGGTGCTGAGCCATGTAACATTTTGTGAGTATGGGAGCAAAACCTTTAAATCACATCTCGAGAGGACAGGGAGCCAGTGCAAGTTGGCCACTGTAGAGGTGATATTATCCAACTTTTTAGTCCTAGCAAAGATGCTGGAGGCTTGTAATATTGGAACAAGGACGACCAGAACGCGGCACGTTACAATAGTCGGCCCTTGGTTGAGGTCGACGGTCTACCAAGAATCATTCTGGTTACTGTGAAGAGGTGCCCAAGAGTCTCTAATCTGTCACACTCTGACATGTGAATAATTACTAAAACTCACTTATTATGAGAGGGGGATGTTGGCTCGAGCCCGTCAAAAAACGATGCCTTCCAGATTTTTATTCATTTGTCCTGTCTCTCGTTTCAAAAAAAAAATTTTCCAATGACTCACATTGTTGCTCAAAAACCACATGTCCCACACTACTCAGCTGAAGGAATAAAATGATTTCAACCCGCTTTTGTTTCCTCTTCAGCACATCCAGGCGTTTGCCTGACCGAGCCATGCATCACCGTGGCCAGCGCCGTCATGTCAGCCTTGGACCGCTCCGTGGACCCCTGCCATGATTTCTACAGCTATGCCTGCGGCGGCTGGATGAACAACAACCCCCTCCCCGAAGGCAAGTCCCGCTGGGGCTCTTTCAGCAAGCTGTGGGAGCGCAACATGCTTGTGATGAAGCAATTATTAGGTGAGTATCGGAGGAGTCGATTGATGTTTCTTTTGTTGTCACATTGCCGTGATCGTTTTTGCTGTTGTTGTTATTGGTGTGATTTGAGCAGAGAACACGACGATGAAAGATCTGAGTCAAGCAGAGGAGAAGGCCCAGCGTTACTATCAGGCCTGCATGAACGAGACAAAGATCGAGGAGTTGGGAGCGAAGCCATTGCAGGAACTCATCACGCAGGTTTGTGCGTCGGCTGCAGTTGCTGTCTCAGCTCAATAAAGGTGCACAGCCTCGTTTTGCGCTAGAGCCCATTCAATTTTGACTTGGTGAAAATGATCAATTTTCAGATTAGTGATTCAAACATAAGAAAAATAGGTCAAGATCACTTCCCAGTTGGAATTGCTGTAAATTTCTCACCGAAATCCCTCGAAAGAATGCTTTTCCAGAGAGGGTGCAGCGAAATCGTCATGACAGAAGTCACAATATCAGTAAAACTAATCGGCTGCTGTTGCGCACAAACCAAGGAAAGACATATCATGTCTGCTAACAACAGAAAATTCTGATTTAATTTCAATTTTATGTCATGACACATAGGAACCAAACAAAGGCGGAAATGCAATCCCGTGGGGTGTTGCTAGGCTTAACACTGAAAGGCCAATTCTGACTGGCCAGAATTGATTTTAGAATGCCCACTTTGAAATTCATGTGACACTGGGAAATAATGAATTCGGAAATAACAATAATAACTATTTTACAAAATTCAAGCTATAAGCGAATGATGGTTGAATAAGAGCAGCTGCTTGCTAATACAATATGTTGCAATTTACATATGATCCAATTAGTCAACTAACCACGACTATGATCGTTGACTAGTTGACGAGCAAAATACTTGTTTGCGGCAGCCCTAGTTGAACAAAAAAAAAAAAAACAAGAATCAATATTTCCCCATGTTATTTTGGAAGAATACTTTTTTTCAGTGGAGTAGCTGTAGTTCTCCCCTTTTCCCTCTCCTTACTTTATAATTAATGAGCAGAAAAAAAAATTATCGTGATTTTTTTCCAATTGTTTTATTTCATTTTCATCGTGCGTTTTCACTTTTTTCTCTGTAGCATTAGATTTTTTTTTCAACCACACACTGGTTAAAAGGATATCTGTAATTCAGATTGGAGGCTGGAACGGATTATTTGCATTTCCATTCATTTCAGTGGAATGCATTCCATTGCATTTTGGGTGACAAACGGGGTCTGATTCAATTCAAAAAGTGAAACTCATCTAGTTTCATGACACAGAGTGAAATTGTGTTCATTTTTTTCAAATAATTTTGATGATTAGCTTTCAGATAATTAAAACCTATAAAAGAAAAAAAAACAGTGAAAATTATTTTAGGAAGGCAGCACAGTGACAGAATGATTAGCACGACTGCCTGACCATTCTGAGTTTTGGATTCGAATCTTTGCTCCAGCCACTCAGTGTTTCCATCACGTTCTGCTGCTTCCTTTAGATAGGAGGATGGGCCTTGACTGGACCCTGGGACAAAGACAATTTCCAGGAAGTCCTCCGTGCCGTGTCTGCAAAGTACCGGACTTCGCCATTTTTCACCGTGTACGTCAGTACTGACTCCAAAAATTCCTCCACTAACATCATTCAGGTGAGTAAGCTGAGCACTTATTCTGACAAATGCAGACCTGACACTGATATCATTGGGTGATGACGTCTGACATTCTGTCGATGTAGGTGGATCAATCCAGCTTGGGACTCCCTTCAAGGGATTACTACCTCAACAAAACAGCCAATGAAAAGGTATATGGTGGTTTTACACACACGGAGGTTCCATCCAAATTAATCAATAAGAGAAAATCTGCAAAATAGAAATGCCCTATTTTTATATGCCCTGGTCATGTTTTTAATAGCATTTTAGACACATAAATTTGTTTTAAGGTCTTCAACACACCTAACAAACACATATTGAGAGAGAATGAGAGCAATTGATAACAGAAATGTTGGCAACAGTATGAACGTTATTAAGTGTAATAATACAAAATATATCAGCGTTAAAGTAGGGCTGCAAATCATCAACCGCAATATTGATATAATACAGTCTTGCTGTTGGCGTATATGAAACAACCACATCGTTTTGCCTTAAGTCTTATCTTACTCCGAACCAACAATGCAAACTGGCACACCGTAGACAGGCTAACGAGTCGTGTTTGTGTTGTACCCTTTAAACAATGGATATTTGAATACAAATGGTGGAGCAACACGTCCAGACAGATAATGTATCAATACTTATTGGAGTATATTTTTTTGTTGTCTTGAAAAATCAAGTATCACTGCAGCATGGTGAAGAGCTGTGTGTTAGTATTATGATGCCCTCAGGTGGCAAAGGCACACATCCCAGAAGGAGCAGCTCAATATCCATTGAGTTGAAGCAACAAATGTGTCCAAAAGTTTATTTGCATTCTGTATAATTATGTTGTGAGTGTATGTTGTTCTAAAGTTTTTAAATGCATTTTTGTTCGGGTGTTACTGCTTTATTCTTAATGGCAATGGAGAAAGTTTTTTTGGAGATATGGGTGTATTGAGTTATGAGTGTAGTCATGGAATAAATAAATCTCTTAACCACCACTGCATAAAGTGGTGATTAAAACTGACTCACCACAGATGTGTAATGTATGTATCTAGTAAAATGTAATGAGTTTTAACTTTTATAAGTCTAATATTTCACAAGATCAGGGGCGTCCAAACCTGGTCCTCAAGTTTCGTGTTGGTTCTTAGTTCTTAATATGGCACATAAAGCATAATGTACAAACATAATCAATTAGCACAATATGTATCATTCATACTTGTTAGGCCAAAAATCTCTGATAGATTTTTAGACAAAAGAATTGAGTGAATTGTGCAACAGAGATGGAATCCACTGGAGATTGTTTGCATAGTTGAGGATTACCTTGCTGCTAATTGTCTGGTTGCAGGAAGTTTCCCACACGCACACACTCTCATTGCTTTATCCCTTTTGCAGTATCTGACGGCATACCACAACTTCCTGGTGGATTTAGGGGTCCTGCTGGGGGGCTCCGAGGAAACATCGCGGCTACTTATGGGGGAGATTTTGGACTTTGAAACGTCCCTGGCCAACATCACAGTACCCCTGGAGGCGAGACGGGATGAGGAGCTCATCTACCACAAGATGGAGGCCAAAGACCTGAAAGTAAGTTAGAGCTAATTGGTTGAGCACAATAAGAAAACAAATACAGTGTTACACCCAGTTATGAATGTTTTTAGAGATTGCTCACCAGATTTTTTTAGCTACCGAGGCAGCGAACTTCACAAAAAGCAGCAGTTAGGCAGCTAGTGATAAATGATTCAAAAAAGAGAATCACAACTTTGTATTTAACCAAACCACTAATAACTTTGGCCTACATGCAAAACGCCATCGATGTGCTAGCAAAACTAGCATCGATGCCTCCGCAATTATCGACCTATGAACAATATTAGAAAACAAGCGGTAGCAACACATGCGGCTAGAACATATAACAAAAAACAACTTTTATTTTTGCACCTTTTTTTGCAGTTTTATGTTTTATCATGGCATCTACTGTCAGTGCCGTTTGTATAGTACCGCCCCCTTCTGGCCAAGACACCAGAATGCAGCAGAATGTCCATTAATTTATTATTAATTCTTTGCAATCTGTTCAAATATACTATTACTTTGTTTTCATAAAATATGTTACTGTGGAGTGCTATTTTTATTATTTAAGATGCATGATTTTTTTGAGGGCACTTTAATGGATCAATAGCATTTCCGTTATGGTGATCCCTCGCTAAACCGCGCTTCATTTATTGTGGCTTCAGTACATCGCGTTTTTTTTCCAGAGTTCTGTATTCAGGAAAAAAACGCATCATTGGTTCCCGGCGCGACATCAACCAATGACAGCACGAGTGTATTTATCGCGTGAACTAATTGGCCGCGCATCTTCGTAGCTCCACCCAGCACCTTCCCTTGTGCCCCGTCACGCTGTTGACTTTCTGACAGTTCGTCTGCCTTTCTCTGGCATACTGTCTCTTCTGTTGTGTTTGTTACGGACGCGGGGGTGGGGGGTTGCACATGAGCGCGAGTGCCAGAGAGCGCGAGCGGGTGATTGAGCTTAACCGAAAGCAGCAGCATCCTGATGTTGAACTAGTGTCGCCCTTTTTGTTTGCAGAGTCTGGCTCCTGCAGTGGACTGGATCCCTTACCTCAACGAGGTGTTTGCTCCTGTGTCCATCAACGAGTCCGAGCCGGTGGTCGTGTATGCCAAAGAGTACCTCCAGAACGTGTCGGACCTCATAACAAACACCAATAAAAGGTCTGATTTACCTCCTTCGCTTGTCAAATGCTGGCCCTTCCTCTTCATTTATGACAAAATATCCAAAACGTTAATCAGCATATTTGTGATTCACCCCCCTCCCCCAAACTGTTAATCACTGATTAGGACTCTGGCTAAAACAATAAATGATTACTTTGGCGCCATCTAGTGGAATTTTGGCATTGTTTTTAGGTTGAATTCATTTATCATGTTTTTCAGTTTTCTTTTGTGATGTCCTGTTTTTTTGGCAAATGGGCTGTCACTTATATAGCACTTTTCTACCTCGTGTACTCAAAGCGCTTTCCACTGTTACCACATTCACCTACTGATGATGCAGCATCAGGAGCAACTGGGGGTGCAGTATCTTGCTCAAGGACACTTCGATATGGTCGCAATCTGCCCACAGGCCGATATGGCAATGCGTTTCCTTCTCTGTCCGCGGACTGTTGATTTCGATTTCGGTGTGATCGATTTGTACTGCTTCCCATTTCAATTGGCGCTCTTTGGTCTAGATTAGTGTTTCTTAACCTGCGTTCGATCGAACCCGAGGGGTTCGGTGAGTCGGTCTCAGGGGTTCGACGGAGCCTCCATGCAGGATGAGACACACTTGACTCAACATGTTAATTAGTTATGACACGCCCTCTTGGCCATTACTGGCTGCAGATGATCACATGACATTGCTTGTCCAATCAGTGCTGTAGGAAATTTAGTTCGCTTAGTAGTCAACGGGTGACTGTCGTGATCGTACGTCGTACAATTTAAAAAAAAAAAAGTATACTTTAAATTCTATTTACTTTCTTCCCTTTTTAATAAATGTGTTTTTTTTATATCTTGAATTATATATATTTATTTTTCACTCATGAAGGGTTCGGTGAATGTGCATATTAACTGGTGGGGTTCGGTACCTCTAAAAAGGTTAAGAACCACTGGTCTGGATCATTGGGTCTTGCGTCACATAGACTGACGTCACAGACAGTGGTGCATTTTTTGGGGGGAGGGTTTGAGAAAAAGCGGTTTTCACTACCCAGTGAGTCAGTGACAGTGTCTGCTTTTCAGCCTTCTCAACAACTACATGATCATGAAGGTGGTACGGAAGATGGTGCCCATCTTGGACCAAAGGTTCCAGGATGCAGAGCAGCGCTTCCTAGAGGTCATGTACGGAACTAAAAAGGTAAGTGAACATTTTTTTTTGTTGTTGTTGATTGTATCCCATTTTTCAATCAATCAATCAAACTTTATTTATTTGGCACTTTTCATACATAAGAATGCAACTCAAAGTGCTCTACAATGCTTTAATACATTAGAAACTCACACACACAAGCACACATACACATTTATTTTTGACATTTTAAAACTCCAATTTTACTTTACGCTCATCACTAGCTCTTAAACATAGTGAAAATATGTTTTAAAAAAACAGAGTCCTCATTTAGGGAGAGCCTTCTGGCAGTGTTATGCTTTGCTGCAGTACTACACAGGAAATGGCTTGCCCCTCGACTGGAGTGGTGTGTTTCATAAAGCAGGCAAGGGGAGAAAAAGTCCATGGAATGAGTGCAGGTGACCTTTTAGCGTTTATCAGGGTGAGATCCTGTTTGTTTTGCAAGCGGGTCAAGCTGTAAAAACAAAGATTTTGTTATTACAAAGTTGTGTGTGAGTTTTATGCGGCAGTGCAGCTGAGGCTTGTTTTACACGCGAACCCTCCATTTACTCAAACTCCTTCTGACTCATGGCTGCTTATCTACTGGATGTATGCATGTAGCTACATTAAATTTAGGTTTGTTTGAAATTGCCCGGGCGGCACGGTGGATGACTGGTGAGCATACCAGCCTCACAGTGCAGAAGTGCAGGGTTCGATTCTGGCTCCGGCCTTCCTGTGTGGAGTTTGCATGTTCTCCCCATGCCTGCGTGGGTTTTCTCCGGGTACTCCGGTTTCTTCGCACATTCCGAAAACGTGCATGGCAGGTTAATGGAACACTCAAAATTGTCCCTCGGTGTGAGTGTGAGCGCGGTTGGTTGTTCATCTATGTGTGCCCTGCGATTGGCTGGCAACTGGTTCAGGGTGTGCCCAGCCTACTGCCCAAAGACAGCTGAGATCGGCTCCAGCATGTCCGTGACCCTCATGAGGATAAGCGAATTATAAAATGGATGGATGAAATTGCCCCACTGAAAATGTTTCTGCACAATGAAATACTGTTTGCTGCTATGCACAGTGTAGATTTAACAAAGAGAATAGGCTGATTATTTCAAAAAGGAGATCAAAGGGGTTTTTTTTGTTTTTTTTTTGGTTGTCAAGTGACACGTATTAAGTAAAAATATCCTTATACCCAAATCCACAATTATTCTATAGAAATCTCAATGATACTTAATTACTGAAATATTCACTCGCTGCAGCCTGCCATTCAACCGCCCTTTTTATATATTCATATTTTTTGTGTTTCATCAAAACAAACGAAAAAATCTTGCAGCAGCTTCCTGGGAATAACCAGGGGAAAAATGCTTTTTAAATTACACATGTATCCCTCAAATGAAATCCTTGATGAGCAAACTTTTGAACAGGTTTCACACTTCCAATTGTCAGCCTCAACTGTTTTCCAAGCAGTTTTGTCTCCTGCAAATGAGCCAAGGCTCACCCGCGCATTCCCCGCCCTATTTTGATTTTGTCTTTGTGGACAGGCTGATCCTACCAACATTAAAATTCGTTTGACGATTTTTAACCCTCCAATCATCTGACCTCCTGCTACTTTTGATGTGACAGAGCTGCACTCCCCGCTGGAAGCTGTGCGTCAGCGACACAGACAGTGGCCTGGGCTTCGCTCTGGGCGCCATGTTCGTCAAGACCACCTTCACCGAGGATAGCAAGGCCATCGTGAGTGCGTAAGTGCTCGGCCAGCGTGAGATAACGCTCTTCTCACCGGACCCTTCTGTCCGGTGCGCAGGCCGTGGACATGGTCAGTGACATTAAAAGGGCGTTTGAGGACGGCTTGAAGTACGTGAGCTGGATGGATGATGACACAAAAAAGGCGGCGAAGGAAAAGGTGAGATGGCATAGAACAGAGACCTTGGCGGGGTGGAAGTATTGGGAGGACATCGCTGCATCCTGGTGTGTCTTAGTATCCAAATTTTTTTACAGGCAGATGCAATTTACGACATGGTGGGCTATCCGGAGTTCATCATGAATGCCACCAAGCTGGACAAAGTGTTCAATGATGTAGGTAAATGTGGTCATATTCAAACCAACCATGTGTCACTTTGCCTCATCAAAACCGCCAATATCTTTCTTTGCAGTTCGAGGTCGTATCAGATCTGTATTTCCAGAATGTCATGCAGTACTTCAACTTCTCTGCCAGGGTGACAGCTGACCAGCTGAGAAAAGCTCCAAACAGAAACCAGTGAGTGTCTCTGGTCATCCGAGGGGGCGTTGAATAGTAGAGCCGGTCAGGAGAGCACCTCAACTTAATTTTATATGTGGAGTACTTTAACAACAAATTGCTGAACATGGGGTGACAGGGGGATGTGATTGAACTCCCCGTTGATCATTGCGAGTACTGTATTCTCTGCCTCTATGTGTTGCTCCACCATTTGTGTTTCAATATCAATTGCATAAAGGGCCAAAGTGTAATTGTAGTGCATTGAACAGTTTCAAGCCTCTTTTTTTTTGAATCAGTCACTCGCTGCTTATTGTGAAGTGAGGTGACATGAGGTCACTGCTCCAGGGCTCATATCTAACATTTGAGCTCGCAAGTCAAAGCAAAGAATTAGCAAATGATGGCTCGAATCGAAGAAAAAAAAAAAACTCATAAGTCGAGTCACTTGTATCTACTGTTTATGTGACCTGGCACTAAATGGACCGTCACTTTGTGTCTTTTGCAGGTGGAGCATGACCCCTCCAACTGTGAATGCCTACTACAACCCCACCAAGAATGAGATTGTCTTGCCAGCGGGAATCCTCCAAATGCCGTTCTACAACCGCCACTGGCCCAAGTAAGTCTTGAATTTGAGCCGCCTTTTATTGTAAGTGCCATTTTGGCTTAACGCAAACGACTCCAGAATCTCAACCAGAAGGGACAATGGTGTGAGGACGGGAAGAACAACATCAATGCTAATGTTCCATTTCCTGTTTTGCGATGATCAACGTAATCATCTTCAGACTACTTTTTTTGTCTGTTGCAGAGCTCTTAACTTTGGTGGAATTGGGGTCGTCATGGGGCATGAACTGACTCACGCTTTTGATGACCAAGGTTGGCAATCATTTCTGTTCGTTGAAAGGAATCAGATACACTAATCCTCAGAAGATTTACATTTTTCTATTCACAAATTAACCGATGTGTTTTTGTCCTCTTTCTGTAACTCTCTGAGATTGCCGCGAGCCGTCCAAAAATCCCTGCATAATATGAAAGCAGCAATTATGTCAAAGCAAGATGTTGAAATGACACATATCAGCTGTTTAAGAGCTTTGTATGTTGTGGACGGGCCAAGTGTTGCATGTCGTGCTGCTGAAATTGAACCAGCTGTCAACCATTCATTTTTAAGGTTCTTGTAAAATGATTGAAATTATCAGTACTTGGGATTATAGTTTGTGGCATACAGTATATAATATTCCCACCATTAATATAGGCAATTCTAAATATTTGGGGGATGTCATTTGCAATTTTTTTTCTATTTGCAGCAGGTCTCTATCCCCGCTCGCAGGGGTTTATTTACTCTTACAGGTGAAGTTTGATTATAATCAGTGATGCGTCCTGATTTTGTGCTTAAAAAAAAAAAGGCAGAGAATTTGACAAAGATGGAAACCTACGCTCCTGGTGGAAGAACTCATCTGTGGAGGCCTTCAAAAAGCAGACGCAGTGCATGGTGGAGCAGTACGGCAACTACAGCATCAACCAGGAGACCCTGAATGGTCGCCACACGCTGGGAGAGAACATCGCAGACAACGGTGGACTCAAAGCTGCCTATGAGGTTCAGATGTAAAACAGTTAGCTGCCAATTGAACCCCGTTGCTCAACACGACCGCAGCACCTACCGTTACCTCTTTGAGTGTCAGTGTCCAGCTTGTGTAACGTAATGGTGTGCCTCCCCTGCAAGGCTTACGTGAACTGGATCGAAAGGAACGGTGAGGAGGCCACGCTGCCAGCTCTGGGAATGACTAACCACCAGCTGTTCTTTGTGGGATTTGCACAGGTTGGTGGCGTCTGTGCGAGTGTGTGTGTGTGTGTGTTTTTTTTTTCAATCTAAATTTGACAAGACACATATTGAACTGGTCCAAATGTGTATTGATCCCGTCCCAGACAACGTTTTCTGTCACTGTTTTACGAAACTCCCCCAAAGTGTTGATTGTCGCAAAGAAAGAACAGGAATGCCACGGATGAATGAACATATTTTTAACTTTATCTTCTTCAGCAAGATAAACGTTTTTTTGTTTTTTTTTTATTATGTTTTATTTTTACTGTTTAAAAAGGATTTCCTCTAATTTCCTTCTGAAGTCATAAAGACCATCATCTGTTGGTCGTTAAATAACCCCTGGAAGATTTGTTTTACAACTTATCTCAGCATCCACATTCAAGCAACACTTTGAATCCTCTTTAGCAAAGACAAACTCACCATGTGCCCGTGTAAGAGACAAACTAACTTTGCTGGGATTACACATTTAAGATAAAACAAAACAAAACAAGCTAAGATCAGTGGCCAACTGTTCCATCTCGCCAGAGTGTCATGAGCAGTTTGCAACTGAGACACTAAAAGAATCACAGATAAAGATGAGCGTTGCTTCTTTTTTTTTTTTTTTTTTGGCATCAGGTGTGGTGCTCCGTGAGGACGCCCGAGAGCTCACACGAGGGTGTCATCACCGACCCGCACAGCCCGTCCAGATTCCGAGTCATCGGGTCCGTCTCCAACTCGCACGAGTTCTCCAAGCATTTTGGCTGCAAAGTAAATACACCTATGAACCCCAAACACAAGTGCAAGCTTTGGTGATGGCTCAGAATGGACAGCAGAGGGGGGACACGGGGAAACGGATAGAAGAGGCTCACTGGCGGGAAGAACCACTCACTGCCCATCAGCGTTTGTCATGAGTCAGCATGCTTGCTCTGTGTGGATGGTTGCTTGAGCAAGTCTTTTTTTTTTTAGTTTTTTTGTTTTTTAAGGAGATATATTTTGCCTTCTTTTTTTCCCCACACTTCAAAACCCGGGTGTATTAAAAACATGTCTGTGACATGCTTTTGTAAAAAATACCCCAAAGATCAAAAATTATTCTAACACATGTTTTCTTGTCTTGCTGAAATTAGCCTGTTTAAGGGGCTGGCTCTGCATAGGGAAGTGAGCGACTATAAACTCCGCCCCATGCATTGCTGGACCAATGATGAGTCAGATTTCATTGACATGACACCGAGAGATGTCATGAGAGATTTCTTACATTATTTTACTTCAGGGAACAGAGCCCATAGTGTGTGTGTGTGTGTGTGTGTGTGTGTGTGTGTGTGTGTGTGTGTGTGTGTGTGTGTGTGTGTGTGTGTGAGTGTGTGTGTGTGTCAGGAGGCGGGGAGGAGATATTTTCACTGATGGAGACAGCACTTCATACATTACACGGCTGGGCCAAATTTACAAAGAATGAACTGTGGACTGCTGAGACTTGCAATTCAATAGCTTTGCTTCAAAAACGCCGTGGCAGAACAATGGCACTTCGGAAGAGAAAGATGACATTTTCAGAATGGTCAGATCGCAAATGACACAGGTGATAGCCTGATTTTCATCAAAATTGGTCAGAAAGTCGACGAATCAACATTTGCTATCGTTGCAAGCATTCCGCGCTCAGTGAGATACGGGCTTAATTGTTCCACTGTCCCGTTGCGAATCGATTCCATAGAACTCCAGGCAAGAAATACAATGGCTTCTCTTTATGAATATTCACTCACAAACACTCTGGGCATAACGATGCCTTGTCCGCATCACTGCTCTATGAGGCTTCCACAAAGGAGCGCCAATTTTACAGCAGCCTTCGAAAGCCATTATATGCTTCACTCAAACTGCCTGTGGCTCTTTGTGCTGGTATTAGTGAATTAGACGTTGTTTATCAATGAGTCTCATTTGCACACAGGTGGGTAATTTTTCTGATAAACATAAAACATGACCCTGCACAGCTGCCTTGTCACAGGCAGAGAAATTTGGTGGTAATGTCGTTTTGATGTGACTGTGTCACAGTTTCAGTCACTTGAAGGTGGCCCTGGATCCCTTTCAGCCTATCTGATCATGTCATGGTTGGAGAAACTCAATTTGGAAGCTGTTACAAACCAGATAGATTTTCAGAACTAGGCAGATCACAAGCTTTACTTGGACGTTTAATCCCACACTTAATGGGTGGGCGGCACTTCACAGAGCCAACTATTTGTAAATAAGTAGTTTAATAGTCAATTTTCCATCACGTGGACTGCTTCGCTACAAATGTGCTTTTTATTTTTGGAACACTGGTGTTATACCTTTTGAAGTTGAAAGATAAACTGTCACGTCTTGTAAACTGCCGGTAGGACAGATTGTCAGGTTCAGTGACAGTCACAGTGAGCTGCTTTTTCTTCTTGCTGTCACTCTGTGCCATGGTTTCCCAAACTTTTGAATGCTAACAATACAGTATAACACATATTGCCGAAACATAGACATGTATATAACTGTATGAATCTTCTTTGGTAAAATCGAATAAAAAATACCTTTGACGAGAAAAGGTGTGATTAATGCTCAGTAACCTAAGTTTGGGAAACCCTTCTCTGCACTGTGCTTTATATCACTTCTACAGTGGTGCCTTGAGATATGAGTGATCCGACTTAAGTTTTTCAAGATATGAGCCCTCATTCGGACTTTTTTTTTTTTTTTTTTTTTTTTTGCTTGGACTTGCTAGCACATATTTAGACATGAGCACTGTGCGGTAGCCGTGAAGTCAACTCTTTGACAACACACAGCAGTTTGGCAGATAATGAATAATCCTCCTCCTTAAAAAAAAAAGGTTTCATGTTACACAGAATTACACATTGTTTATTCCAAAATGCCAATGCAAACAGTTAGGATCAATAGTCTTTGTTTTACAAGTATAACACAAACGGTGGAGCAACACATGTGGACAGATAAAACAATACTGATGGGCATACATTCTTTATCCTCTTCAAATGAAAAGGACAATTATTACAGAATCTTACTGACTCAACTACAGTGGTAGAATTGGAAGTAGTATTCTTTGTATCTGCATGTCTGCATGACTGCATTATACTGTCTTCTGGTGGAAGTGGCAGATACACCGGAAGAAGCAGTACAATGAATTTGACAACTGCATTAAATCATGATGTGCACACTGTCTAATTTTTTACATTCTTAAACTATGTTATTACTCGATAAATTACATTATTAAAGAATGTTATTTTTCCCTAAATTCATTTTTTTTGTGGGGGGAGAGGAGGCTGAGGCAGATTAATTGAATTTCAATTTTCTTTTTTATCTCAAGGAACCACTGAATGTTATTTATGTAACATTATTATGTGAATCTCTATTCAAGCCTGTTGTATTTTTGTTGGTTTTTTTTTTTGTTTGTTTTGCCTGTCGATATATGAAAGTCCACTTAAAAAGGATTTAAAAGCCATATACAGAATGGATAGAATGTCTAATGCAAATACTGAGGAAACGGCTGCACTGTTGGGGGGAGGTAGAACGCGGTCAGGCCCTCACACAGTATATTTTATTGGGAGAATGTGAAGTTGAATTTCTGTCGGTATTTTAATGACAAAGCCAATTTTGGACTGATTTTAACACATACAGAAATAACGCAACGGGACTCACAACCAAAACAGACCAAATGTACCAATTAAGCTTTTATGTGTAAAATTATTTTGAATATTAAAATGATTATAAAACATATTTTGGCTTATTTTCTTTTCCATTCATTTTCTGAACCACTTCATACATTTAATGGTCTTCTTATGTTTGTTTCATGTGTATAGTTTGTCTCTAGGTCTGATTGTGAGTGCGAATGGTTGTCGTGTGTGGTACAATTGGTTGGCAACCAGTTCAGGGTGTCTCTCCCACCTGCTTCCCAAAGACAGCTGGTGAAAATTATGATGTAAAAACGTGATACTTATCATATGAAAACATGAAACGTATCATGTAAAAATGTGAAACGTACAAAATGTGACGAAGTTGGCCTCGCGGAGGAGTCCCCAACTTCTGTTGCGACTTTGGTCCCATCCTGCAGCCGGACGCAGAGGCAGATGCTTCCGAATGCAATGGCACTAAATCTAAAATCTCACCATGTCTCAACCCAAACATAAAATAGAACTCAGTCACACCGTTTAAATGAGCAACTTTATCCATTTGGTTTCAACGTGACATGTTTTTGCGTAATAACTTTAATAACTGGTTTTTCATGATGAATATCACCTTTTTACATAACAGTTTTTACATGATAATGTTTACATGGTACTATAATTATTAGGTTTTTACATGAGATGTTTTGTGGGGTTTTTTTTTTCCTGATATGGCAGCAAAAACCTTCCGTATCGTAAGAAAAGGCAATTATAAGTTGTTAAAGTGTGTAAAGTTAGGTTTTTGTCTGGTGTATTCACATTTGTGAATATGAAATTTTCCCCTCATTAAAAAGATAATTACAAAAACTACGTGTTCATTAACATGCCCCCTGCCCCCCAAAAAGACGAAAACATAATTTGTTACGTTTGAGTGTGTGAGATCCAGAAGAGGTGGTGAACTGTTTATGGGTGGTGGTCTAAAAACAAGAGAGGCTGGGTGTAATATTTTGAAAGTCGCTTTTTCCCAATTGATTATTATTCGCGTACTCTGTTGAATTGGAAAAGACCAGATCTATTTCCCGTTGACGGAACGACTGTGAGACGGACGAGGTAACCCTGAACATCACTCAGAGAAAAAAAACGGGTGGTCACTGGTCACGAGTCAAGTTGGCGGCTGGTGCTGATTAGCTAACAAGGCAGCTTGTCAAATTTGTCATTTGCGCCGCCGACTTCTGCCTGCAAGTATTAATTTGGGCGAACATATTCCCATGGATTGTCGAAAATAACCTTCAGGTAAACAGTTGGGAGGTTTGACGCCAGTTAACACGTCACTTTATACCGACAGGTGAGGAAATGATTCATTGGCATTTTGGGCCCACGCTCATGACCTTCAATAACCTCAACACAAGCGCGCGTTTCATGCCGTCTCATGTGAGTTTTGGGAGCTGAAAGTGACGCTTGAGAATAAATCATAATGTTTTTGCATTTGTTCGAAGGGCCGGGCCTGCTTAATTTGGATGCATAATTGGGAAAGGGAGTGGTCAAAATCCTTACGCAAACCATTTGACAAACGGTGGCGTTATTTTTCATCCTCTCGGTAGCGGAAGGAGAAAAACGAGCCAGTTCGCGGTCGATTAGCGTCTCCGCGCACTCCTTCGAAAGCCGCCGGTACTTGTCATTTAGGTGTGTAGTTCACCTCCACTGCGATGTTGGCGCTCTACTAGTACGTAATCCTTTTCGTTTGTTACACAGGAAGTAGTTCAGGAAGCCCACAGGAAGTAGCCCGGCGGGTGGGATGATTTTCCGTGTAGTTTCGTCAAATGTCGATCAAACGTCCAAACTGCTTTTTGCCCCAGCATGTACCAACAACGCCCGTTTGTACGCCGTAATGGAAAATAACTCCGGGGTTTGGATTTGGTTGTCTACGACGATGTTAACGTGATAAGTTGAAAGCAAAATGCTTTTCGGCCAACCACGTGAATCACGTGACGACCGAGCGTTCTTTTCATTGAATCCAGGCAAATCAACACAATAGTCCGATAACGAACCATGGTGCTTTTGTAATATTTCTGGGAAAAACCCTCGTCGAGTTATTTGCTCGTCTCAGAAACACGGAGATGCCATTAAAAGAGCGATACGTTCCTTGGTGCTTTTCTATTGGACCGCCACGGGCCACGTGACTTGCTGTAATCAACA